AAAAAAAAAAAAAAAAGAATTCTCCATACTTCCTTCCAAAAGGATTGTCCCACCAGCAGTGTAAAAGTTTTCCCTTCTCTCCACATCCATGCCAGCATCTGCAGCTTTGACTCTCTATGATGTGGGCCATTCTCATTGGGGAGTGTTATCTCAGGATGCTTTTGTTTGCTTTTCTCTGATAATAAGGGATGATGAGCATTTTTTCATATGCTTGTTAGCCATATGTCTGTCTTCTTTAGAGAAGATTCTATTCATCTCACTTGCCCATTGATATAAGGGATTTGGGGCTTTTTTGTTGTTGTTACTTAATTTGAGCTCTCTATAGATTCTCGTTATCAAGCTTTTGTCCAATTCATAACGTGCAAATATCTTTTCCCATTCTGATGGGAATTTTTACTTTGGTTTAACTGGTATTCTCTTTAAGGTGAGTTGCAAAATGAAATGTGAAACCATATCAAAAAACTTTCTGTCTTCTATATACTTGTAAGAAAATGAGAAATGAGAACAGGCAATGAGAAAAAGAGCAAATAGCATCCTATTCTTGGGAAAGTAGTTTTTATCTCAGTGACCCCCAGGAAGGGGTTCAGAGATCTGCAGGGGTCCCCAAATTGCACTTAGGAAATCTACTGGCTACAGGAAAGGTGTTTTATGTCTTATCCTCTTTACCTCTAAATTCTTGAGACATTTGCACCTAAAGTAGAAAGCAGTTTCTTCTAAGATTAGGAACAAACCCAGGATACCTGTTTTACCACTTCTTTTCAACATAGTACTGGGGTTTCTGGCCAGAGCAATTAGGCAAAAATAAGTAAATAAAAGACATCCAAATCATAAAAGAAAAAGTAAAATTATGTCTGTAGATGATATGATCTTATATGTAGAAAACCCTAGAGTCTACAAAAACACAGCTGATAAACAGGGTGGCCTAGGTAACTCATGACTGTAATCCTAGCACTCTGGAACGCCAAGGCAGGTGGATTGCTTGAGCCCAGGAGTTCAAGACCAGCAACAGTGAGACCTGTCTCTAAAATAAGCTGGGCATTGTGGCAGGAACCTTGTAGTCCCAGCTACTTGGGAGGCTAAAACAAAAGAATTGCTTGAGCCTGTGAGGTTGCTGTGAGCTATGATGCCATGGCACTCTACCAAGGGTGTCAAAGTGAGACTCTGTCTCAAAAAAAAAAAAAAAAAAAAAGAATTAATAGACAAATGCAGCAAAGTTGCAGAATACAAAATTAAACTTAACACATAAAAATTGTATTTTTATCACCAGTAATGAACAATCTGTAAAAAGAAATTAAGGCAATTTCACTTACAAAAACATCAAAAGGAATAAAATACTTAGGAACAAACTTAATGAAGGAGTTAAAAGGTTGTACACTAAAAATTACAAAATGTTGCTGAAGAAATTTAAAAAGACATAAATAGGGAGACATCCTGCCTTCACTAATTGACGACTTAATATTATTAAGATTTCAGTACTACCCAGAGCAATGCAATCCCTATCACAATCCCGGAATAGAATAAAAAGCCCAGAAATAAACCTTCGCATATACAGTAGAACCTTTCTAAAAGTTAACACCCAAGAGACTATAACAAAGCAGTCAACACACAGCAGTGGTCAACATAAGGAACTAGGCCTGCCGTACTCTTACATACATACACATGTCTGGTCTGTGAACATTAGGTTAACTCAAGGAGGTGGTCAGTATAGGAAGGTGATCAACTACAGAGGTTCTACTGTAATGGAGTGGTTTCTTTTTTTCCTCGAGACAGAGTCTCACTATGTTTTTCTTGGTAGAGTGCAATGGCATCACAGCTCACAGCAACCTCAAACTCTATATCACTCAGTTGCCATGGGGTTGAGTGCCATAGCATCATAGCTTACAGCAACTCCAGACTCTTGGGCTCAAGTGATCCCCTTGCCTCCAGAGTAGCTGGGACTACAGGCACCCAAAACAAAGACCAGCTATTTTTTAGAGACAGGGTCTCGCTCTTGCTCAGGCTGGTCTTGATATAGAGCAGTGGATATAGAGCAGTGATTAGTGCTTATAATCACTATAAGTGGATATAGAGCAGTGGATATAGAGCAATGATTTTCAACCAGTGTACCATGGTGTAGTCCATGAAAGGATTGTCGATGTGCTGAAAAAATTTTTAAAGATTATTATTTTTGAAAGACGTTCAAAGCATAGTTAAGTATATTCTTTTTTTCACTTCTTTCTTTTTGATCAATGTAATTTAAGTGCACCTCAAAGTTTAACTATAGGTTCAAGTGTGCTGTGAGATTAAAAACGTTGAAAAACATTGGTATCAGGCAGCTCCTATGGCTCGGTGGGTAGGGCACCGGCCCCATATACTGAGGGTAGCAGGTTCAAACTCAGCCCTAGACAAAGTGCAAACAAAAAGATAGCCGGGCATTGTGGCATGCACCTGTAGTCCCAGCTACTTGGGAGGCTGAGGCAAGAGAATCGCCTAAGCCCAGGAGTTGGAGCTTGCTGTGAGCTGTGATGTGATAGTGACATACTGAGGGCGATAAAATAAAACTCTGTCTCTAAATAAAAATATATATATATAAAAAAAAAACAGCACTGGTATAGAATTTCAGTTTTGTAAGATGAAGAAAGTAATGGAAATGGATGGTGGTAATGGTGTATAAAACTATGAATATATTGCTAAACCACTTTAGCATGATGAAAATGATAAATTTTATGTTATGTATATTTTATCACAATAAGAAATTGGAGAAAATAACAGGGTAAACTAATATATAAAAATATCTACCTTTTGAACAAACAGAGTATTTTTTTAATTTTTTTGTAAAACTATAAAAAAATTAAACTATAGGCGGCACCTGTAGCTGAGTGGGTAGGGTACCAGCCACATACACTGAGGCTGGCAGGTTTGAGCCCAGCCCAGGCCAGCTAAAATCAACAGGGATAACTGCAACCAAAAAAAAAATGGGTGGGCATTGTGACAGGTGCCTGTAGTCCCAGCTACTTGGGAGGCTGAGGCAAGAGAATTGCTTGAGCCCAAGAGTTGGAGGTTGCTATGAGTTATGACGCCACAGCCCTCTACCAAGGGCGACATAGTAAGACTCTGTCTCAAAAAAATAAACTATAAATATGAATATAAAATCAGTCAGAACCTCTGATTCTTTCAGATTTTGGCAATTAATTCATATTAGCAAATATCTGCTAATTAGAGGATGGTATAAAGCCTGAATCAACACATTTTTTCTATAAAGAGAGTAAATATGGTCTTGTGAGCCATATGTACTCTATCACAACTTCTTAACTTTACAGTTATAATGTGGAAGTATCTTAAGAATGAATGTGCCAGAATACTGGAAGGGTGAAGGGATGGGGATTGGAGGGATCACTTCTGAGGTTTATTTTACAAGGGTACAAGTGAATCTTTGTTCACAGAATGTGAACGTTTTAAAATAATAACTAAGAAAATGACACGAAGGCTATGTTAACCAGTTTGATGGAAGTGTTTCGGATTGTGTGTGAAAACCCCACACTGTACCCCAGAAGTGCATTAATGTACATAGTTACCATTCAATTAAAAAAAAAAAAAAAAAGAATGAATGTGCCTGGGTTCCAATAAACTATATGTATGAAACACAGAAAAAAGTTTTGCAGTCATTTATTTGCATCAGGATGCTTCTTCAGCCAGTGTAGAGAGCATTTTATTTTATAAACATTGTAAGCTCCATTTATAAAAGATGGAGCCAACAGCCAGGCCTGATGGCTCATGCCTGTAATCCCAGCACTCTGGGAGGTCAAGGCGGGTGGATTGCTTGAGCTCAGGAGTTCAAGACCAGCCTGAACAAGAGTGAGACCCCATCTCTAAAAAATAGCTGGTCTTTGTTTTGGGTGCCTGTAGTCCCAGCTACTCTGGAGGCAAGGGGATCACTTGAGCCCAAGAGTTTGGGGTTGCTGTAAGCTATGATGCTGTGGCACTCAACCCCATGGCAACTGAGTGAAACTCTTGTCTCCAAAAAAAAAAAAAGATGGAGCAATAAGTCTCAAATTTTGCTTAACCTAAAACTTAAACAGTCCATTTTTTAATTCTTGAATTCACTTTTTCAGAACATCAAATGAAATTATTTTGCTTGTTTAGACTAAACTTTGGGGGAAGAGGCCAACTTCCTAGATAGATACCTTCATAAACATCTACATTCTTTTTTTTTTAGACAATGACTGTTTGCCAGGTAAAATTATCTAATGGCTTACTGGTACATGGACCACAGTGCCACTCTGAAAATGAAGCCAAGGAGAAAGCTGCACTTTTTGCTTTACAACAATTGGTAAGAACTGTCTATGATTTCTCTATTAAATTTTAAATTAGTCTCCATAAATAGTTTTTGTTACATTTTCTTAATAACTTTTAAATATTTCCATAGGGCTCATTAGGAGTGAATTTCCCTTTGCCTCCACCAGTGTTTACAAATTATCCTTCTGCCATATCACCCAGAAGCATTACTCCAGTTTTCCCCCAAACTACTGGTAAGATATTTTGCTTTTCTAAGTATTTGACATTGAATTATTATTATTTTTAGTAAGTTCTTTTGAAAAGCATAATTTTAAAAAAATAAAAAAAAATATTCAGATGTCTAGGAATATAAGAAGAAATTGTAAGAATTAGCCTAAAGCTAAGGCTTGCAGATTCATCCTCCTGCAGCCTCTGGTATGGCTTGAGTAGTAAGGAATTTCTTTGTAGTGGGGGGCCTTATTCCCCAGTAGGTGCCAACAGATGAATTTGGGTTTAAGTGAGACATCAAAAACACAGGCAATATGTACATCATGTGACTTCTTTGGGATTCTTATTTTTGTATTTGTAGTATGCTGTGTCCAGGATCTCTTTGATACTAATATTTTATAATTTTATTATCCTAAGTCTTAAGTTCATTAGACATTTCTTTGATCACTCAGCCTTCTTCCTGATACCAGTTGGCTTCATTATATCTTAATTATTGTTTTAAAACCAGTAATTTAAATTTAGAAAATTACTTTTCTGAGGCTGCAATAGTCTAGGAACTCTACTTTATTCTTACTATAAATAATAGAAAGGTTAATAATACTGATTAAATTTGCCTCTTTTCCTCTAATTCCATTAAACTGAAAAATAAAGGATTTAAAAAGTGTATACCTGCAAGGACAAAGAGCTAGGAGAAGAAATAGCACCAGATTAGAGATTTAAACAGAGTTTGTGATGAGAAAACAAAGAAGTAACCAATTTGGTAGAGCACGGTTAAGCTACAAACTAAAGTTCCTATAGAAGAGGTTACAGTGAGCTGAGCTGATGAGCAGATTGTGTCTGTCTCAAAGAGTAAAAACAAAAAAGCAAGAAAAGAAAGAAAGAACAAAGATCCAGATCCAGTGCCCATCTTATTGGAGTTTTACAAAAAACAAACTGAGATAATGGAAAGGAAAAAAGTATCAAAGAAATAAGAGTTTCCTAGAACTAAAGGATATGCATTTCTAAACTGAAATGGCTACTGCATGATTTGTTTGTGCAATGAATAAAAAAAAGACTCAGATTATCTTGAAATTCAGAATACCAGTGATAAATAAAGGGTCCTAAAAGCTTCAGAGACAAGGGAAAATATATAGTACATATAAAAGATAGAGAATCAAAATGGCATTGTACTATTTAACAATGCCTAGATACTAGAAAGTACTGACTGCCTCAAAATCCAGAAGTAAAATGAGTTTCATGTTAGATTTCTCTCTATGGCCAAACCATTGGAAAAACATTAAGGATAAGTACACACTTGGGAGCGATGGCTCATGCCTATAATCTTAGCACTCTCGGAGGCTAATGCAGGTGGGTTGCTTGAGCTCAGAAGTAGGAGACCAGCCTGAGCAACGGGGAGACCCTGACTCTATTAAAAATACAAAAACTTCGCTCATTGCCTGTAGCTCAGTGTTTAGGGCACTGGCCACATACACCAGGGCTGGTGGGTTCAAACCTGGCCCAGGCCAGCTAAATAACAATGACAACTGCAACAACTAAAGTATAGCCGGGGCTCAGGACCTGTGGTTCAAGTGGCTAAGACGCCAGCCACATACACACCTGAGCTGGCGGGTTCGAATCCAGCCTGGGCCCACCAAAACAACAATGACAGCTGCAACTGAAAAATAGCCAGGTGTTGTGGTGGGCGCCTGTAGTCCCAGCTGAATGGGAGGCGGAGGCAGGAGACTCGCTTGAGCCCAGAAGTTGGAGGTTGCTATGAGCTGTGATGCTACGGCACTCTACCCAGGGGAATAGCTTGAGGCTCTGTCTCAAAAAAAATAAAATAAAAAGCTTTGGCCAGGTGTGGTAGTTCAAGCCTGTATATAATCCAGCAGTTTGGGAGGCCGAACAGTAGAATCACTTGATTCCAGGAGTTCAAGGTTACACTGAGCTATGATCCAGCCACTGCACTCCAGCTTGGGTAACAAAGCAAGACTCTGTCTCTAAAAAATAAGAAAAAGTTTTACAAGAAAAGAAACATAAACACAGTATCCTGTTTAGCTCCGCAGAAATACAGTCACATGCCATGATACGGTTTACGTATTTAGACAAATGTTGTAATATTCTTACATTAGGGGGACAAGGCAAGTAAAGAGGGGTAATGTAAAAGAACTGAATTGTGATCTGTCTTAAAAGGAAGTCATTAGATCTAAAAATGCTTCAAATCGATTAATCACTAGTAACATAAGCAAATTATCGAACAATGTAGAAATAAACTAACGCAGATAAACCTGTACTGGAACAAGTAGCTGCTGTTTTATGTTGAAAACATTTTTTAGGGGAGGGGGAGGATGGGTGGAGGGAGGATGATTGCTGGGATCATGCCTATGATTTATCCTATAAGGGTACATGTGAATCTTTCTAAATGTGGAATATAAATGTCTTAACACAACAACTATGAGAATGATATGAAGGCTATGTTGGCCAATTGGATGAAAGTATTTCAAATTGTATATGGAAACAATACACTGTACCTCATAAAAGTATCAGTGTACACAACTATGATTTAATTTAAAAAAGGAAAGAAAGAAAACATTTTTTAGTATAATAGGTTAGAACCTCTAAAGTTGACCACCCAAGGGACTGTAAGGTTTGGCGCCCACAGCTCAGTGTTTAGGGCGCCAGCCACATATACCACTGCTGACGGGTTGGAAACCAGCCTGGACTTGCTAAACAACAAAAAATAGTCGGTCATTGTGGTAGGTGCCTGTAGCCTCAGCTACTTGAGAGGCTGAGGCAAGAGAATCACTTAAGCCCAAGAGTTGGAGGTTGCTGTGAGCTGTGACGCCACAGCACTCTACCCAGGGCAACATAGACTCTGCCTCAAAAAAAACAAAAAAGAGATTGTAAAACACTGGTCAAATATAGAGGTGGTTAGCCCTGGCAAGGTGGCTCAGGCCTATATCCTAGCATTCTGGGAGGCCAAGGGAGATGTATTACCTGAACTCGCAGGTTTGTGACCAGCCCTGAGCAAGAGCAAGACCTGTCTAAAAAGAGCAGAGAGTTGTGGCGGGCATCTGTTGTCCCAGCTACTCCAGAAGCTGAGACAAGAGAATTGCTTGAGCCCAAGAGTTTGAGGTTGCTATGAACTATGACATCACAGCCCTGTACTGAGGGCAAAAAGTGAGATTCTGTCCCCCCCCCCTCAAAAAAAAGAACATAATAGAGGTGGTCAACTGAAGGAACTAGCCACATGTAGTGCATGTCCAATCTATGAAAGTTAGGTCAGGTTCAGCGCCTATAGCACAGTGGTTACAGCACCAGCCACATACACCAAGGCTGGCAGGTTCAAACCCAGCCTGGGCCAGCTAAAACAACGATGACAGCTGCAGCAAAAATAGTCAGGCATCGGCTTGGCACCTGTGGCTCAAGTGGCTAAGGTGCCAGCCACATACACCTAAGGTGGCGAGTTCGAATCCAGCCTGGGCCCACCAAACAACAATGACGGCTGCAACCAAAAAATGGCAAGGTGTTGTGGCAGGTGCCTGTGG